GCACTTTATTTTACTTGTGTATAACTATTTAATGTAACTTTGAAGTCCATCACATCTTTGACAAAAATATTGTAAATTAATTTCATTTACTTTATAATATTAGTTTCTACTTAGGCTTCATGGTAGATTGAGTTCCTAAATGCAAAATACAAATCAACTAATGAACTATGCTAAATTATTACACATACAGCCAAATTATCAAGAATTTCAAAGTGGTCAAACTAAGTCCACCTTTAAGAGCTGCAACAGTCAGTAACAAACACATTTATTTTAATTCAAGAATGTCTGATGATTGTGGCGGTTCCCTCGCTTCTGACAGACGAGAGGCTGCTTGTTCTTTATTTAATATTGATTTGCGCTTGTGGTATATAGAGTTGTTCCGTTTGGTTACCACTACTGCTCTTATTATTATTAGTATTTAGTACCAACATATTATTTTTATTTTAAACAACATATTGATGGCCAACAGTTCCATCAGTTCTTGTTTTGGACTTGCATAGATGAAGATATGAGGTGTGAACTTGAATTCCTATTGACAAAGTTATTTGATGATTATTTCATTCAAGTGTTCAATACCAATACAGTCACTTCCTTGAACCACAGTAAAGCAGTATATTATTTTGTTGTGTGTAAAAACAATGCAAACGTCTGATTAAATGCTCTTGGTCATTACTTCACACATGTTACAAACATTTCAGGAGTAATGTGAGCACATACAGTACAGTGTATATCATTTTTTTAAAGGAATTAAAAACTTGTCATGTCATGTCATCATGTCATGAGCATTTAATAAAACAAAATCCTGACAGCATGCGAACTGTAGCCCTTCAATGGCAAGAGGAGGTTGCCTGTCCAAGATGTGTTCCAGTCAATCAGTCAATCTGTGAAGGATGTCAGCCTCAGTGATTCCCACAGAATAGATGCATAATAAACACGACCAAAGTGTGTGTTAACTGCTCCCAAAACGACAACTTCAAAAGCTAATTTATTCACTTCAACATTAATGATAACTTGATCTTAACCATCTCTACTGGCTAAAATCAACAAACATCAAATCAAAGGCTTACTTCATAGACAATGTTTGAACACAGTAACAAAATCTAGTAGTCTTTTTTACTAATTATGGTTTAATAATAAATTCATGTTTTAATTATGTTTTAACAAGCAAGTTTTTTCCAAGAAAATGACCAGTGAGGCTATTGTGTGAAGTGTTGAACCCATCGTGTTGACCAATGTTGGTAATGTATCAACAGAAATGAGTCTGTCGGGATTAAATTATTAATTAGATTAATTGCTCTACTTTCGCTGTCCACTTTTCCACTTTTCTCTTTTTGGAAAGCGCCATTTGTTCCTTTTTTTTCACACTCTTTCTCTAGCTTTTCTATCTATCTTCTTCCTACAGTTATTGTAATTTTCTATTTCTCTCATCGGTCTGCACTTTCGAGACAATATCATCCTGCCAGGAATGCGAAGACTTGATTGGTCAGAAGGCTTAAATCCAATGCCATTGGTCTGTGGTTTCAGCCACTTTCCGTACAGAGACTACCATAGCTGGGCCGGTCAAAAAGTGCCCCGTCAGGTTTTAAGTCAGCTTTAGCTTTAGGCTTGGGTCCGGATGGGATGGCTCCTGGGTCCAGATCCGGATCATGGTCTGCCAGTTAGAGATCTCTGATTTAAAACATCAAGGAATGAAAATGTAGAAACAAAATCAATATTTATTCATCTATTCATGAAAATTAAATGTTGTCCCCAAAGCAGTTTTGACAAAAACACAAAACTTCTCATTGTATGAGGAAAGAGCCTGAAAGACTTACCAATCATCAGTAAAACGTATTAAATAAATACACATACCCTCATTTGTAAATCACATTTTTGTGCTGTATTTGGGTATTAGAATCTGGGAATTAAGTTAATTGGTTACTCTAAATTGCCCGTAGGTGTGTGAATGGTTGTATGTCTCAGTGTTAGCCCTGCGATGGCTGGCGACCAGTCCAGGGTGAACACCGTCTTTCGACCTGAGGTCGGCTGGGATCCAGCCCCCCCGCGACCCTGTGTGCAGGATAAGCGTTTTGAAGATGGATGGAGTGGCACTTGTTGACTAGTGCACTGTAGCAAAGCGATTTTCCCACTGCTGTTGCTATGACTGTTTGAAACGATTCTGATGCTATTAATTGTAATGTAGGACTTTAACAACCGCTGGAATGAACTGAGTTGAAGATGGATCTTTGTAATATTGCATGGCTGCTTTCGTGTTCACTCAACTGAAAAAGTCTGATCCTTGTGGGAAAAATCTGTTCAGCTCGTCTCCTTGTCTTATGTCGCTGTCTGGCTCGGATTACTGATGTCATTTCACCAGGGGCCCATCTCAGGAAACACGCATTCTGGTTTACACCTGCTTTGAGAATTTACACCGCAAAGCAGAGGCGTGCTTCCACGCATCTCTTTATTGGAAACTTCCACTTTCCCCTTGACCCTCCTGTGTATGCATGACACGCAAAGAGCCGATGAATCGTAAATATCTCCTACCTTTCCCGCTTTGAACAAAATTATGAAATTAATCCACTCTTTCTGCACTGTAATGCATGCAGCATTCACCTGGCACGACTATGGCTTCTTGTCTTTTAAGTGACGTTGGGTGAATTAGGGGATCTGATTTCACAGGCAGACGTTGTTCTCGAGCGTCATTTACGCTCTACCGGTTTTTGCTTCTGAATTGCTAAGGAAGCGGTCGATCATTTCTGCGTGGGTAGAGTCGTATCCAGAAAGGATACAATAGGACCAAAGAGGTGGTTGAAACCCCAACCACAGATTCTGACTGCTGACGTGTGTCCGACGGCGAAGCCTGCACAAAATCTTATCACTAAGCCATTACTATCACTTAGATTTTGTTTTATATTTCGAGAAGGTCCGACTGTGGGGGGGGGGGGGGGGTTGTAGTCGCTCGCTCTGTGTTCGCTGGTCGGCGAGCACGGTAAAAGGACAAGAAAAACGCCTGGTGACGCGTGGGGAATATGTCAGAGGGATGAGCGTTCAATTTTCAAAATAAAACATTTTTCAGAAAAAAAAAATATATAAGCTTTCTGTGGTGCGGCCCGGTACCAAACGGCCCACGGCCCGGTGGTTGGGGACCACTGTTTTAGATGAACTCGTTGACACAGTCTACAGGGTTTAATATGTTTTGGGTGAGTAACCAAGTGTATACGATTTTACCTCTGCCTCTTGGTCTGAGGTAGATCACAAGTTTTGCACTAGGAACTAGCATATTCCTCTTTATTTAAGGGGACCTAAGCTTACCCAAGCATCAATTCTTTCTAGTTATGGGCTGAGATTGATGGACTCTTTGACAGTTAAATGTATGTATTGAACCTGCAGTTCACATGACTCCCTCCAGTCAAAACAATGTTTGTGGGAAAAATAAGTGACTGACTAGTTAGTTTAATCAAAATCAAAGATTGTTTATTCTTAACAAATCTGAGAGAAGTCACATATTGAATCACATAAACTAATAATTGATCGAATGGAGACCTAAAGTGTGTCACTCTACACCTGGGGTGCTCAATACCTCGATCGCGATTGACCAGTCGATCTTAAAGGCAGTACCAGTCGATCGCGTGCCATCGATAAAAAAATGACGTAACGTCACGCATGCGCGCGAGATGACCGAAACTAATGCTAATTAGCGTTCCTTGCTTACTAACAGACGCATTTAATGTCATTCCAAAGCAACCCAGGCTGACTCCAGTAAGGTAATGACCAAGAATGTACGGGATGTTTGTGACGGTTTCCTCCTTCTGACAGACGAGAGGCTCGTTGTTTTCTTCATGTCGACTTGTCACTGCTACTATTTTCCAGTCGGTTCTCCCCCCTCGTCAGCCGGCATGGAGGGTGGAGGGTGTGGGGGGGTTGATTGCCATGACCTGGTTAGTTGAAAAGATGCTCGCGAGCCGGAAAAGTGTGGGCACCCCTGCTTTACACTGAACCCTGTTAGCTATAAAATGAATTCTACTAGAGGTCTTGCAATTTCTGAAAATTGTCCTGCATTATTTTAGCCCTCCTTAGTTTCACACCTGCTACGTCGTCTGTCCTTCCATTCATACGTCATCAATAACTGCAGCTCAGGGATTGGCTGTTTCCACACACAAACCTCCATAACTCCACAAATCGCACCCACTTATAACTTATTTCCTACCTTACAATCGTGATGACCTTATTTGGAGTTTTAGCAGTGCTCTGAACTATTCAAAACAGAACTATTCAACATGTAATACTTTTAAGATGTCTTTTCTTCACACATACAAAATCAAGATACTACTGTATTGATTGTCCCCCCCTTGGAGTGAAGTGCACCATTGTCCCTGCACAGCATGCTGCGCAGTGCACGGCCATGACTGATTTTGAGTGTCAGAATAAGGGTTAATTGGTGATTCTTTTTTTGCTGACTTTATTTTATCCACTGTTTTGTTTACATTATATTACTTTATTACATCTAACGGTCAAATGAAGCTATACGAGTCAACCTCTTGCCACGCAAAGGTTCCACACTCTTTACAGCTTAAAGTTTTAATAGACTGGCTTGTAAATCTTTTCAAAAAGTTCATGTCTACAGATATGCATTACCTTCATCTTCAAAACACATTTAACAGTGTTGATATTTTGAGGTCCATATTGAATTCCTTGTTTGAAGAGAAACATGACGGCAGAAGTGACTATTTAATAAAGGAAATGCCAGGGGAATCATGAGTTAAGCGCCAAAGAAAACCAAACAGAAAACAGGACCAGGGTCTTACGGAGGATCACAAACAATCTCAGACGAAGATTAGACAGGAGACACACATGGCTTAAATACACTGGGAAGGTGGAGGGGTTTGGACAAAGGTAGGGACAAGGTAGACAATCTTTACCTTTTATTAATCTCATTGGAAAAGTGAAAAAAGATCTATATTTCTTTGACAATACCACGATACAAGAATGACTGAAATGCTGTCCCTGCTCTATCACAGGTGGTGTATAAGAACAATGACATCCGTCTTGAGTTGTCCCGCCTGGCACGCATTGTGGACCCTAAAATGAAAATCCAGGGTGAAGTATCCTATAAGTGTGAGAATGTGGCCACTCTAGACCCCATTTCCTTTGAAACTCCCGAGGCCTATATCAGCCTCCCAAAGTGGAACACGAAGCGGATGGGATCCATCTCTTTTGATTTCCGCACAACAGAGCCCAACGGCCTCATCCTCTTCACCCATGGCAAACCTCAGGAGCGGAAAGACGCTGCCCGCAGCCAGAAGAACACCAAGGTTAGTCCATAATCCTGAATATTATTTGCTAATTTGATTACTTGCAAAATGTTTTTACCACAAAACTAATATAATTGCATTTGACAATAATTCCTGTCATCCTATGACCTGAAGGATTGGGAACCTTCAAAAGCATTTTACAAGGGTAAAAGAGTGCTCGTTATTTATTTATTGCTTTGAGAATAACACGTCAGATTGGATGTGATTCCCAGGTCCCGAGTAAAAACTGTTCACTTACTTCACCTTCGCTCCATTGATCTAGACATGGGTTTGAATCTTCACCTTTCTTTTCGAAAAAATAACTGGTCAAATTAAATAATACAATGACTAAATAATTGGACATTGACATTTTTAGCCAATTGCTGGGGCAGAATCTAACATTAACAGTGGACAAACCCAGAGGTGCACTCTCACTCAATCATAGACAGGGAGCGACTCGGCAACACACAAAGAAAACAAACTCTCCTCAGACTCATACCTGTTACATGTTGACCAATGAATGCTTTTTGGAAATAATTAAGTGTGGCCAGCGAAGCTGAGCCAAACTCCTCGTAATCTAACATACTTATTATTATTACCGTATTTTCCACACTATAAGGCGCATTAAAAGCCTTTAATTTTCTCAAAAAAACGACAGTGCGCCTTATAATCCGGAGCGCCTTAAACATGGATCAATTTGTTAACTGGTTGATCCATACTGGTTGTACACGCAAGGCGCTCTGCCATACATGCCAAAGCTCGTCTACGACGGCGAGATGCTGAGCGGCGCTCAAGCGCGTGAGATGTGGAGCTTGTTTCAGGGCGCGTCGGAGAAACAAAGCTGTCGTTCTCGCCGAGCACTTCATGAGATTAAAGAGCGAGAGATGGTGAACTTTTCTCTACAGTAGCTGAACCATCTTAAGTCGTTGGTTGCTTTATTTATCATAGACTTTATTGCCCCGTGCATCGACACTGCTGCTTTCCATCAAGGACACATTTGTCCCGTATTTTCCTCCACAACTTGTTCACCTCTCGACCGGCAAACCGACGTTTGTGGAGATCTCCCTCCATGAATCCAACCCGCTTCTACAACCCGCCAATGACGGCTTGTATAAGTGCTCATATTTACACATTTCTTCCGACAAAAGTTCTTCAATCTGATCCGTTCTCTCGTAAACATTCTTCGTTTTAATAATGGCGGTATTGTGCTATGAACCTCGCAGCAGCGGTCGGACCCTGAAAGCACCAAACCAACGGGGAAAATAAGTTATTCTAAAAGGAGCCCTTGGCAGGCGGCGTGGCTAGAGAGCAGCCGAAGATTTAAGGTGTGTGTAAGCTATTGTTGCACAGGTGTTCCGGTGTGGGGGCTTTTGTTGTGAAGGGGGAGATGGAAGGAGAGGAAGTTGAGGTGGTTTTCAACTGGGGGTGTAGTGAAAAGGGTGATAAAAATAAAGTTGCGGCCGGTTCGGCGCAGAACTGGAGCTCCGGGTTGTTTCTTTTGTTATCGACACGAAGTATAGGCACACCCGAACCCCTCGGATAGTCTCAAACTGTCGGGAACCATCGGGAATCGTGTGCTATTATGCTGGCTAAGGGAAATGACTTACGGTTTCCCCAAAATAAGCACATTTCGAACTCCAAACTCCAATGGAAAAATCAGAGTTTTAAAAAATAACCCTGAACCCAACCGGCGGGGGAAGGATTTACCGCGCGGACGGTGGCTGGATGTTACGGCGGTGGGGGGGGACGTTACGGCCGAGCAAAAAAGCTTGAGTAGACTCGTTTGAATACTGTGTGTGTATTCTAGATAAAACCACAATTTTTGTCAGTCTGTATGTGGCACGGCTTCTGGCCGAGTGGTAAAGCATTATGTTTTTTTTTATGTCGGAGACTCGGGTTTGAGTCCCACACGTGCCGATCTGCTTTTCTTTCTTTTGTAATGCAAGTCTAGCCGACGGGCGGGGAAGGGGGGGGACAATAAAGCCAGTGGCGGATGGTCGGCAAGGCGCGACACTGTGTCATGTCTTTAGTTTCCTAGCTAGCCTCAATGGCTAGCCTTCACTTGCCTGTTTCATGCACGGGCACCTGCGGGGAGGCTAGGCTATCCATCCATCCTCTTAAAATTACTGTGGAATTTTCTAGTTAACAGATTACATTTCTAATTACATTTATGATGACTTCATGATGTTTTACTATATATATATATATATATATATATATACATACATACACTATATATATTTTTTTATTTACTAAACTGTTCAAATATTCACAAATCAGAACAACTTAAATTTTTTTCTTAAGTAAAATTAAGAAAACATTTTTTTTTAACTTCTCCAGGTGGATTTCTTTGCAGTTGAGTTGCTGGATGGCAGCTTGTACCTTCTGTTGGACATGGGCTCAGGTACTATTAAGGTGAAGGCCACCCAGACAAAGGTCAATGATGGTGCCTGGTATCACGTGGACATCCAGAGAGATGGACGCTCAGGTCAGTTGTGTTTTTGAATCAGTGAGGTACACTACCTCTAATGAAATTTGAATAATCATTTTACATTAAGTATTTCTACTTGTCTTTAGAAAAGAAAAACATTGTACTTTTATTTATTAACCAATAATTCTGTCAATTTATTGGGAACTTAACACTTATGAGTATAGTATACATTTCGATAACAAAAGCTTGTGTATACACATCTCGCATCTCAAGTACCAACCAACCACCAATAAATACCAGAGAGCTCCTGAGGGGGTATGGGGCGTATACATGGATCGGGGGTGGGGGGCGGTAGATCGCAACGACTTGGTCGATTGAAAAGTAGCTTGCGAGCCGAAAAACTGGGCACCCCTACCCTAATCAGGTTTCCTGCCCGTTACTACTTCCTGCACTATTGTGCAACACATGCAGTGCACCAGGGGGCGGTGCACTGCATGTGTTGCACAATAGTGCTATAGTGGTCCCCAGTGCATAAGGTGGAAAGCAGTTGAAAGCTGTTAGGAATGCTTTTGCAATACTGTTTCTTGTCCAGTCAGCTTGCCTTAACCAGCTAGCCTCAAGTCTACATCACAGTCTTAATCTGGGCCTGCATTTTAGCGAGGAAAGTGTGGGTCTTGGAGTCCCCGAAACTACAGAGTGACCCTGGGTCTCTATTACAGAGCATTATGATTGATGCTCAGCCTTCCACCTGAACCTTGAGTTGGTTACATATTTCCTGTTCATCTTTACCTTCATGCCCATTCCTATAATTATTGAACCTCGACAGTTTCTGGGCAGCTTAGATCAGAAAATATTTTATTTAACAATTTCATATTTGGCTCCTCAAAGTAACATACAAGCTCATTAGAATATGGTGCAACTCAACCGACAATCTCCAACTACAGCTTGAAAACTATCATGCAATGGTGCCCCATACCTTTCACCCAAAACAATCTGTTTAGACTGGGCTTTTTAGTGAGAGTGGCTTAAAAGGACAGGCCCTTAAACTGAACGTTTTATTTAGACAGAAGGACTGAACGTCTATCTTGACTCTCTAAATCCCCACTACAGGGACCATCTCCGTAAACAGCAGAAGGACCCCTTTCACAGCTAGTGGTGAGAGTGAGATTCTCGACTTGGAGGGCGACATGTATCTGGGGGGGCTTCCCAGTGACCGCACCAACCTGATCCTGCCCACTGAGCTCTGGACGGCAATGCTCAACTATGGCTACGTGGGATGTATACGTGACCTTTTCATTGACGGTCGAAGCAAAGACATCCGTCAGATTGCTGAGGCACAAAATGGCGCTGGCATCAAACCCTCGTGCAATAAGCAACCTGGCAAGCAATGTGAGAGCTACCCATGCAAGAACCGGGGAGTCTGCAAAGAAGGCTGGAATAGATTCATCTGTGACTGCACTGGCACTGGATACTGGTCACGCACCTGTGAGAGAGGTAAAGGCACGTTTTCTCTTATATAACCCTAAAACCATTCTAACATAATCTTAAAGACAGAGGGATTAAACATGACAGACACCTAGAGAACTGGAGCAGAAAGGGAAAAGCAGTCATTCCACCAATAATAAAGGAAGTCCTTTTTGCAGGCTTTGTACACACTGGCGTTAGGAGACCGATACCAAAAATAATAATTTGAACATTACTTTCTCGACCTGTGTTACCTGCAACCCATTGAGTTAATTTGTTGGATCAACAGCAGCGTTCAGTACATTAAGTATTACGACTGTAACACTTGCAGAGTGATCCTTCCAAGGGGTCCTCTCCCCAGCGAAATTGGTGTGGTGCTAGTTGACCGAATCAATATTACAACTTGTACATTTGACATTACAGCTATCACAATTAGCAAAGTGTTCTTGCCCAGGGTAACTGGATTAGTTACTACGTTTGATTAGATAAACACTGACATTGTGTTAATTGAGATCTATTTTTTGCACCTGACGGATAGCTAGCAGTGTCTTTGCTCAAGCTGAGATGCTAGCTAGACACATTACAGCTGTCGCAGTTGGTGAAGTGCCCTCGCTGAAGCTGACTTCTGAGACACAACTAACTACAGCGAGCGGTGCATCACCACAGGCAGTTTCCTTGTTTACTGTCCGGCAGGCTTCCATTCGAACCCTCTCAGCGACTGTTTAGAGGGTACTGCCGCCCTTTCCTAATTACAGGGCATAAAATACTGTCACACTTAGACAATTGGCTGACGCTACGCTGTGTTCACAGTTGTATTTGGAAGTGCGAATCCTCAGATTCATGTGGGGTTGTGAAGGCAACGCGGTTGAGGAAGGTTCAAGGTTCAAGACCAACACTCACATTTTTCAGGGAATCAAGGTTTGACTGCAGAAATAGAAGCAGAGAAAGAGAAGAGTAGAGATAGATCATCAGCAAACATATTGTCAGGGTGTTTGGATTTTCGACATTCCTTTCTGCTGCTCACAGTGGCTCTCTCTGAACGCGGTTGAACAATCACAGAGCCGAGAAGGACTTACAGACCTGTCATGATGTAAGAGGACAGAGAGGAAGACAGGGTAGAAAGCAGTGTCTGTGGTAGCGTTAGCATGCATGGGTAAGAAAGAGTCCGTTGAAGGGAGGGTTGATAAGACAGAGAGAGGTAGCAAATGTTACAGATGTCAGTTTGAGATAATGAGTGAGATAAGTGGTCAGAGACATCAAGTGGAATTACAGGAAGGTTACATGTATTGCAGTTTCTGGTGAAGATACAGTCAAGGTGGATGCCGTTGGTGACATTTAGGTTGTCTGCTGTCATTATTTAGTACGCCCCGCAATCATATGCTGAAGGGAGGGCAAAATATTTTTATCGGGTATATTATGTTGGGTTAAAGATACCAAACTTTAGGGTTGATGTTACTAACTGTATGTAGCCTCTGTTACGCTTGGTTATAGCAACACAATTGCGCTGCTCAGCACGATATGTCTCCTTTTATGATTGTTGCTGATCTTGACAACTGTCGTTCCGCCCTGTGCGTGAGACCTCAACAACGTTCCTTTTCCTCCCTTTTGAGTTCTCTGTCTTTTTCTTTCTCTGGTCACCGAGAACTTGGGACCGGTAAGGTTAAGGTGAGTTATTCAGACATTTATGTGTGTCCTTGACACGGCAACGCCTCATTATACTGTGGTTTCGCCGTGACAAGAGACAAACAACATTCAGATATTTTCCAAAGAGATAAATGAAACATTAATGTTTGAAATTATTTATTTATAGATATATAAACTCTTGAGATTAATGTGGCCGAGATTAATGCAATAAAATATTCTAACGCAGTTAATGCAACTTTGTTCACCAGAAGTAAACAAAGTTGACTGTCACAGGGGGAGCTCTTGAGGAGGACTCGGACGCAGAGTTGAGGTTCAGCTGACGCTTTTATTGTACAAAAAAAACACAGGGAAGTCCCTGGGAACAAAAAACTTCTCTGAAGAGAGATGAACGGGGAAATGCTGAGAGAGCTGAATAGTAACTTTTCAGCTCTCTCAGCATTTCTCTCTTACAGCGAAAATAAAAAAAAACAATAAATCAAAAAAAGGCTCTAAACTAAATCAACGAGCTGTGGACCGGCCACAAGGCCAACTAAGGAGACCACAAGGTGGCTCGTTACAAACAAAACTGTGACCTGGGCTTGATTCTTTCCTGAGGCAGGCATGCAAGGCGAAAGGACATGACACACTGGCACAGGACAAGGGGAGACGCAGACTATAAGTACACGTAAGGGAAGTGTGAGAACAGGTGGACACAATCAGGAAAGACAATCAGACTGGTGACACATGAGGAAGGGCAAGGAACCTGAAACGACAGGAGAGTTAATTTCCAAAATAAAACAGGAAGTCACAAAACAAACATGGAGACAGGACAAAAACCCAACTTGGCATACAGGTGTGACGTTGACCCCAGAAACGAAACCGCCGCTAGCTGCAGTCAGTTAGAAAGTAAGGCGGTAGCTGAATTTGCATTGGACCTAAAACAAACAGAGGCCCGACATACAGCGGGAACTGTGCAGATGAATTCCTCCACGTCACAAACAGAAGTGGCAATCTGACCACTTTACGCACTGCTAGGTTAAGATAGCTGCTAGGCTACTTTCATCTCAACATCCACCCTGCAAACGGTCCGAAGAGGACAATCACTGTGCCCCTAAAAAACGTGGTTTGGAAAACTAGCTGAATGTCGCTACATTGTTGGCACTTCAAATACAGCCGTCAAATGATGGAAAAGTTGAGAGCATAGCAAAGTGCACGAGGACAGTCGCTAGCTCAACATTTTCGGGCGAGTCCCCTACTGGTGCCCTTTGCAGGACTCCATTCAGGGTCTCCAAAAAGGCCGAATAATCTGAGCTGCTGTTTGGTGCATATGCACAGACAACAGTCAGAGTTTTCCCCCCCACCACCCTAAGGCGTAGGCAGGCGACCCCTTTGAGCATACCCAAGGGGGGCGCTGCAGGCAGTCGCAGAATTTTTGGTTGTTTTTTCCTATTTCCATCGTATTTTTGATTCATAAATGAACAAACTCCTCTGATAGTTAAAACCTGATCAACTTCAAGTTCGGGCAAATTGATCCTGACATCCGTCTAGTCAAAAGTTATCAAAATCAGTTTTCCTGAAACTACCAGACCTCTACTCAATCAGAAAGGTGTGTAATTCACAAGTTAATATATCTCTGTTTAGTAAAGGTTCTGTGATTCGCTCCCATTCTTTGCCTTGACTGAATGGAGGTGATCATATTACTGATGTTTTAAAAGCTTTAACACAGCAAGGCCAAAAGGCTAGTGGTAAAGTATTCTTACCACACCCACCATTTCTTTTTGGTCTTTTTGACGGCGTGTCCAGCTGACTGCTGCCCCCCCGACATGCAAGGGGAGACGAACGCCCGTTCATCGCTTTGATCATTTTGGGGTCTCGCATTTGGGTATGAAGAAATGTCTCTATAGCGCCCCCTAGAAAGGTAAAAAGTACCCCTAGAAAGGTAAAAAGTACCCCACTAGGCCAGTTTTCCTAGAAAATTTGGCACTCATGTGCTCCTCTACAAAAAAGTCAATCATGGTATGCAAAGGCGCATAACTAGATTTTCCGCCATTTTGAATTTTGTGAAAAACATGTTTTTGGCCATTTCTCCTAAACGCTATATCCGATTGTCACGAAGTTTTCTGTGGATCATTATTTGGTCAATTTCCCCCTCAATCAATATCAATCTATTAATTGATAACTTATTTATATTATATTGTATGTAATATATTACTTATATTGATAACTCCTTTTTTTGAGAAGATATGAGCTAATAAACTTTTCAAGGAGTGAGGCTTAATCTCATAAGACTCATAACTTCCAAATGATTTGGCCTACTGTGACGGCCCTGACTATTGGTCCATGTCTGTGATGTCATTGTGTTTCTCTGAGGTGATACCATCAACCTGATTGAGAGCAGCTGGGGGTTCCAGCGGTATAAAAGGGCTTGGTTGCTGCCTACCGGTGTTGCTGGTTTCCCTGGCCAGCGTCCGCATCTTTGTTTGGGTCTCTTTGCGTTCCCTTTATGTTCAGAACACTCTACCCTGCATGATCAAGCATCCACACTGACATGACTGAAACTACTGACGTACACACCTCATATTTGCTTTACTTTTGGTTTTGCCTCTTTACTTAAATAAATATACTTTTATATCGGCTTTGCACTGTGTCTCTCCCGTTTTTGTCATCTCCTTTGAGCCGGGTCACGACACTACCCTTTCCAAACTTGTTCCACATGTGAACACACCCTGATTTTTTGAGAACATTTGAAGATTAGGGGCCACTGCAATAAATCGTTGAAAATCTGCCTTTTTGGCCTATTTTCATGATTTCCTAGAGTTGTAAAAGACCGAACTCCTCCCAGGGATTAAACCCCATTCTTTTCAAATTTGCGCAGTGGAATCTTGACGACCTAGGATCTAAAAATTGCATTACATTACATGTCACTTAGCTGACGCTTTTATCCAAAGCGACTTACAGTAAGTACATTCAACCATAGGGTACAAACTCTAATTTACAATTTGCTATAGATGAGTGGCGTTATAAGTGCAATTTAAGTGCTACAATTTGTTAGTCTTTTAGTTGAGGTAGAGTCTGAAGAGGTGTGTCTTTAGGTTGCGGCGGAAGATGTGAAGGCTCTCCGTGGTCCTGGTGTCTTCAGAGAGCTCGTTCCACCATTTCGGAGCAGGACAGCGAAGAGTCGTGATCTAGTCGAGTGTTTTGCTCTCAGTGAGGGAGGGACGAGTAGTTTTGCAGATGCAGAGCGGAGAGTGCGGCTCGGTATGTGGGGTTTCACCATGTCCTGGATGTAAGCTGGACCCGATCCATTCACAGCATGGTACGTGAGGACCAATGTTTTGAACTGGATGCGGGCGGCCACCGGTAGCCAGTGAAGAGAATGGAGGAGTGGAGGAGTGAGGGAGAATTTC